ATAAACCAATCATATGGTTGTATTTATTTTTCAAAATCCTAATACTCGAGAGGCGATTCCAAAAGTGGTCACTACCAACACCCCTCACCAAAACAGTAAGGCGGCTATCAGAATTTTAAGTATCGGCCTATTAGCCTTCTATCACATGGCCTTTTTCTCAGACTAGCAATAGGGCTTTCGTTTCTCCAGGTAAACTACATATCTTTGATCTGTTCTTTTCGTTCCTGTCAGATCGTGAAATGAAAGTTGTTCTGAACGGCCACTCGTCTAGATCCTTGCTCCTACGCTGTTTTAAACTTCATTAATGAACTTCCCGATGACATCAGCTCTGAATTTGGCATCTACACTGACGACATTACCATTTACTTCTGCCTCAATCAAAATGGCAGCTGATGTACAAAACGACCCGAAAACCGCCGTAAACTGGGACAAAAGATGGATTGTCAAGTTTAAAGCCTCCAAAACTAAAATTCTCTCCTTTAATCATCCGAGAGATCCCTCTCTGCCTTCCATCAGCACGGCTGATGCTAACCTCCAGAAAAGTGTCTTCTCGGGCTGACATAAAGTGGAAAGGCTATATCGAATCCATTGCTAGGTCATCTGCTAAAAATTTGGTTCACTTTGTCGAAGGAAAGATAATTTTTCTCTCCGGAATCTATCTTGCGATAAGTCTATCATTCGTCCATACTTAGAATATTGATGTTATATATGGCCCGGTACACCTGCTATTTACTTTGAGCTCCTTGATAAGATCCAAAGAAGAATCAGCAATATTATTGGTCCTGATCTGGCGGCTCGGCTTCAGTCACTTACCCAACGCCGTAAACTTGCCTCTCTGTTACTTTTTGATAAATACTTTTATTGTTATTGTACAGATGAGCTCTTCGCTATGAATTTAAGATCAGAACTAGACTGGCGGCGAAATTTGATTAATTCTCATTTGCCAGGCTAGATGTAGCCGTAAGTTTTATGTTAAAAGTTTCTTTTCTCACATTTTTTGCTTGTGGAACTCCTTTCTGGTTCCATGCTTTTCAGCCACCTTTAATTTACAAAAATTGGAATGCAATTTCAATCGCCGTCTACTGTCCTACTGATTACTCTTTTCTCTTTTTACTCATTACTAATGTTTCTGTCCCTAATTCCCCCATACCCCGTAAACCCTTGCGTCTTAGTGACTGTACAACCTTGCTTGGGGTGATACCGATTTAAAAAAAAAAAAAAAGAAGAAAAGGTGTGAAAGGGAGCTCTAGTGATATGGCCTAGGGTCCAAGTGGAGCAGCAGGTAATTAGATTTGGGTAAACAATCTTCTACACAAATAGCAAACTTTCCACCTGTTACCATAACACCGGAATATTTCATTAGTGAATAAGAACAGATTGCTAATAAAATAATTTTTTTTTTTTTGTTCCGTGCTTACTGATTCTTTATGTTTTATTTTTATTTCTTATTTTACAGTAAGGTTCATCCAGTACAAAACCCGGAGATTCTCGTGGTAGAGCGTTACGTTAAAAGGCGATTTATACTAATAGGAGGGGAGAAGGTGGGTAACCCTGGACTTGAACAGGTTAAGATTGTAGTGACAAGGGAAACATCCTCCACGGAGTCAGTTCCATAAAGCAGAGCTTCGTGGGAAGAAGGCGTTCAAATGAAACTTACCAGCGATGGAATATGGAGGGAATGTGGAAGGTTTGTTACAATATAAATGTTATGGCGTGTCCGAGCCGTAAGGGTTACAACTGGCAGAAGCAAGGAATGTATATGAATCATTTTCTATGGAAATAGCGATAGAGCAGGGATGGGATCGCTACATCCCGCCTGTAAGAGAGAGATTGGAGGGTGGAAAGTAATTGGTCACCCACAGGGATTCGAAGGCGGATCTGAACTCTGTCAATACTGAAAAGTCAGGGGGTGGCTAGCTTCTGCCCCAGTATGACAACAGAGCTCCATTTTTCGGCCTGATCTAGCTCTTGTATACTTTTAATATTTAATTATTGTTGGAAAATGGAAACGAGAACTCAGAAAGAGCTGAAAAGAGGAAATCACCTTGTGCTGGTTATGTATCAGACATGCAAAAATCAAAACTTCTTTTATACTCAACCAAGAGGAATTAACGAAATGGGTATCACTCTATCAAGTGAAGAATTTCTTTATCGAGTTTGGTGATCTGGGTCTCGCTAGACAATTTTCTAGCGCGAACAACATGAAGTACCTATATATTCGATGATGTTGATGTGGCTGCACTTCTTGGTGTTGCATCTCTTCAGGATATGGGCGATCATGACACTCCAAAGCTTTCTATCCCTTGTGGTCCTTAGCAAATATTTCTCCATTTGCTAATATCCCCAGTCTAGTTCCGCCACCCATTCACTTATAAGATTTGTGCATCCCCATTTTTTTCTCTTGCCATCAATATGCCCTTTGAGGATTAGGTTTTCCAAGCCCTCCTTCCTCGTTATGTGTCCAAGGAAGCTCAGCTATGGCTTTCTAACTCTGAGCACAAGTTTTCCATTTGTTACCATTTTTAAGACATCCACGTTGCTTACTCTCTCTGTTCATAGAATTCTCAGAATCCCCCTCTAGAGATACATTCCTGTTGCCTCCAGTTTTCTCTTCATCTGTGTGGAGATTGTCTATTAATAATAATAATAATAATAATAATAATGTTGATGTGGATGCAATTCTTCTATTTGTTGTGTCCCCTTAGGACATGGGCGTTCATGGCTCTCCAAAACTTCCTATCCCTTGTTGTTCTTAGCAGTTATTTCTCCATTTGCTAAGATTCCCAGCCCCGTTCCGCCACCCATTCACACACGCTCATCAGATTTGTGCCTCACTTTTTTTTTCTAGCCATCAATATGCCCTGTGAGGGTTAGGTTTTCCAAGCCCTCCTTCCTCGTTATGTGTCCAAGGAAGTTCAGCTATCGCTTTCTAATTCTGAGCACAAGTGTTCCATTTACTAAGGCTCTCATCCATTCATACAAGCTCATCAGATAGGTATCTCACGGCCTTCCTTTATTTTTCTACTCTCGATATGCCCTGTGAGCATTAAGTTTTCCAAGCCCTCCTTCCGAATTATGTGTTCCAATTCTGTTCCCTCCAGTTTTCTATTCATCTGTGGAGTAATTGTCCAACATTAATGTATATGATATGGCAATCCAACACCCTTATCTTTGTTTCTCACGATTTTTCGGTTTCTGTTGCTTAGCATTTGAAAGACATCTTTCTCTATTCTAATGTTTGTTTGGATTTCGGTGTCAAATTTTCCATCTTCTGTTAAAAGACTTCCCTGATATTTCTTTTGCACATGCAAGATTTTAACATCTCCAATTCCTAACTTGCATTTTGGGCTTTTTCTCTTGCTGACCAACCTACTGTCATCTTGCAATTGATAGACCCTTTTTCACGCTTCCATTTAACACCCTGTCTCGGAATTCCTCTACTTATCTTGACTTGTCAGCCGTGAACACAGTGTTATCTACGTATCTTATATTAAGATTACTATAAAAAAAATACTGTTAAGGCGTCCATATTCCTTAGAATAGCCTCACTTTAGAGTTCAAATAGATCTGGGGAGAAGACATATCCTTGTCTTAAGCCCGTTTTGGGGTTTTTTTTTGTTTTTGTTTTTTATCATAGCTACTCAATTCATTTTCTATTCGTACACAGGCGATTTGCTCCCAATATAAGTTCTGCATTATTTTAACATTTTTTCTAAATAGAACTAGTTTCCCAATAAGTTCAAACTCTCGTTGATGGTGTGTTTGAGCGGCCCCAGGCCCACAAACGTACGTGAACCTTACATTGCCGTTTGCGATATCTGCATGAAATCTCAGCCACTCTCTAGGGTGGTGCTTTATACATTCATCTGCCTAAAGTTTTTTTCTCGCCAGCTCAAAAATGTTTCCTGTTTAGGATTGGGCTTCCGGTTTCTTTGAAGTCTTATACTTCTAAAGTCTCCGCCTAAATTCTGAAATTTTATTTATTATTTTTATTTTCACAATAGTATCTCGGTTCGCCTATCGTCCGGTTTATACTCCTCCTCGATAGTTTAAACAGGAGTAAAGGTTTATCCCTTCTTTCCTGTTTAGGATTGGGTTTCGGACTACTTCTAAAAAGATTTTCATTCATTCTTCTTCACTCACAGTAGCTCCTTGCATCTTAGTGACCTTATTGCCTTGTTGAATTGATAGTATATATATATATATATATATATATATATATATATATATATATATATATGTGTGTGTGTGTGTGTGTGTGTGTGTGTGTGTGTGTGTGTGTGTGTGTGTGTGTATGTGTATGTGTGTGTACGTGTGTGTTTATATATATATATGTGTCAGGCGTAAATAATCCCACAGGTGTTCACCTCTGGGGTTTATCGTTAATCTCCACCCCCGGCAATGAGGATATATCAGATCAACCCCGCAACCGACTTCCTTTACTTGGTGAGAAATTGAGTGCAAACCTATTTTGGCATAATACTATACTGCCATGCTTTATAAAAGTGCGTCTATGAGGAAACATGTGAGGATCTGATTTGAGAATTAATCTTGGGTATATATATATAAAACATTAACAATCATAGAAATGTTCATGATGATAATTAATGTAAAAGATCTAACATTAAAAATATTTATTCATAATGCATTTATATACTGAGTTCTAGATGAAAATTAAATTAAATAAAATAAGTAGAAAATAGGAATTGAATTCGACATTTTATGACACAGCATGGATTGAAATGTCATTACATTCATTAACCTTACATAATTTAATTAATGAGAGAAGCAGAATTCTTTCTGACATGGGATGAAATTAAGAATTTTTGAGATGGTGAATTGTAGGTTCTTATTATACCTTTTCTTTATTATGCCTTTTCCTTCTCATGCCTTTTCCTTCTCATGCCTTTTCCTTATTATGCCTTTTCTTTATTATGCCTTTTCTTTCTTATGCATTTTCCTTATTGTGACTTTTTCTTATTATACCTTTCCCTTATTAGGCGTTTTTCTTTATTATTCCTTTTCCTTGCTATATCTTCCACTTATGCCTTTTCCTTATTATACTTTTTACTTATTATGCATTTTCTTTATTAGGCCTTTTCCTTTATTATGCCTTTTTTCTTATTATACCTTTCCCTTATGATGCCTTTTCCTTATTATGCCTTTTCCTTTATTATAACTTTTCTTTATTATACCTTTGCCTTATGATGTCTTTTCCTTATTATGCCTTTTCCTTTATTATGCCTTTTCCTTTATTATACCCTTTCTTTCTGATACCTTTCCATTATGATGTCTTTTCCTTATTATGCCTTTCCATTATTATGCCTTTTCCTTATTATGCTTTTTCCTTTATTATGCCTTTTCCTTATTTATGCCTTTTCCTTATTTATACCTTTCCACATTATGCCTTTTCCTTCCATTTTCCGTAACGCTAACCGTGACACTTCTACACACTACAGTCTGATGATGTGTTGAGTTGGCATATTCAGCGATATGTCAAAATCTGTTAAAATATTAAACGGCAAAATACATTGTTTATTATACGTCATTTTAATGGAAAATATTAGTCGTATCTATACTTGAGTTTACAAGTAAACATTGAGCAACGTTATACTTATGTCTTTAGGTAAACATTGCTTTGGCTTGCGTGACATGATGTAATCAATTTCTGTTTTTTTCCTCAGAGTAGGTCATTTGCAGTGGTATGCAGTAATAAGAATCTATTTTCGGGGTGTATGATGAAATTTGTTTGGTCTTGAAAAATATTGCATGATCCGTGATTGCATCAAACTTTCAACACGCCCAAACACTATTGTCTAGACTGTCGATTATTTGTCCTACGGCTATTGTCTGCGATGGATGTTACACAAAGGAAGCGTACGAAAATGGTAACAATGCACGAACACAGTTTCAAGCCTTACCAGTGAGCAAATCTGGCCCGGAAACTCTCCTGATTTAAATCCAATCGAGAATCTGTGGTCAATCTTAAAAAGTAATAATATGTGCACTAGGTTATGTCTCATTGGAAAAATACGAAAAAAGTGAATAATAACGGAATTATTCGTTTTGTTTCAATTAATTTACACAAGGGTGTAGTTGAGTCTATTGGTAAATAATATACGTTATTATATTTGTGTCCGTAGGTAAATATTTCTTGGTTTTATACTGTTAAGGGTACGAAATAACTGTTAAAAACTGTTATATGCGACAAAATAGTGTTATCTAACTTTCATAGGCACAGAATAATTAATATATAACTGTTAAAACTGATCCTGCTTCTGTTATAGCAATATAACCTTTAACAATGTCATTAATCCTCAGGCCTGTCATCATACCGTAATATGTCTCGTCACTAACATACTACAATGTTTTATGGATAATGAAACAATTGAGAGGAAAGTACTTTCCCGTAACTATAGCCCAGAGAGGAATAATTGTAAAAATGTGACTACACTTATTGTCAACCTTGACGGAGGAACTTATTTGGAAGTCAGCGATCCCTCAGAAGAATCGCTTCATTCTTTCTTTCTTTTTGAAAAAAAAAAAACAAACAAACAAACAATTTTGTCGAATGTGGGTGACTTGCCAAGAAAAGTTCACCCCAAGGACATCAAAGCTGTCAAACACCAAAGTAGGTAATTCTGTATTCACGAATGTAATAATACTACACAGGTAAGAAATAACACTTATTGGGCGTGTAATTACATACGCACATAAGTTAATGAGATGGAAAGCCAATCACGACCAAGCCTTTGAAGTAACACCGACACGATATTTCGTAGATTACAAAAATACATATAAATAGATGGAAATATACGGATTGACAATAATATATGTGAACATAATCATACATATATATATATATATATATATAGATATATATATATACAAAATGAGTCCACTTCTCACCTTATAGCATCAGACGTGTGAGTAAATAAATTACGAAATAATTATGAAATAAGGAAATGTGTTGCAACGCGTTTCTTTCAGAAAAAGAAACTAATCACAAAAATAACAATTCCATTGTTATGATTGATTCAATCATATGAAAAAAAAAAGAAAAGAAAAATACAATAAACAATATGCATCAAAACGTTAAAAATTCAAAGACGATCATCAGATTTTGACGATTTTTAAAAGTTTTTTAAGAGTATTTTTTAAAGTTTTAAGAGTTTTTTTCAGCCATCTCTCAGATTGAGTTTCCTTATTTCCTTTTATAGTAGATCTAGGTCTGATTCATCTCATTTGAATAATCATGGTATCTTCCGTTACTCTCATCCCCAGATTGTTCACTACGACTGCATACACTCATTCTCTCCCCCCTCTCCTGTTCTTCACTTTCATATCTCTGCTGGTCTTCCTGATCACTCTCAATACTGGATTCATTTAATTTTCTTGCGTTATCTGTTCTTCTGCTTCCTCCACTTTTTCCCTAACTTCATGCTCTCTTGTGGTTATAATTTAGTCTTAGTGAGTCAGTATGTCTTATTCCTTTTTACGTTAACACCGCTCTGTTAAATCCCTTTTGCACCACAGAAATCGCCTTTTCAAGACTTGAATCCTTGTCCTTTCTGTACCACACACTTACATTCGTTGCAAATGACATGGTAATTGGAGGCTTTATTTGTCTTCACATCAATGCGGATGGGTTTTGTCTTCTGTCTGTATGTACAATAACTCTATAATTTAGGAGTAGTCTGCTATATATCCCAATCCGGTGGCTAGAATGGTTTTAATGTCATTTTTGCCGTTTGAACTATTCACTTTCCAATTCCATTGAAATGTAGGCGGTAAGGGGCTGTTTTGTATGGAATGTAGCCAATACGTTTTAACCATGCACATAAACTTTCTTCCCAAACTCAGGTGCATTGTCAGAGACCAAGGTTTTTGGAACTCAATTTCTCGAAAACACTATCCTCAACACCCGCTTCACAGTAGTCGTTTTTCTATCTGCGACTTTAACAACTTCAGGTCACTCTGAATACGAGTCGACTAATATCAGAAATAGTTCTATACCTTTTATGTAGGCATGATTTATATGTGCTCGTGTCCACGGACCGATTTTTTTGGGCCATCAGAAATAGACCTATACCTGTTATATAGGCATGATCTATATGTGTTCGTGTCCATGGACCGATTTTTGGGGCCATCAGAAATAGTCCTATACTTTTTATATAGGCATCATCTATATGTGTGTTCGTGTCCACGGACCGATTTTTTTTTAGTCCATCAGCATCATTTATATGTGTTCGTGTCAGACCGATTTTTATACAGAAATAGTCCTATACCTTTTATATAGGCATCATCTATATGTGTTCGTGTCCACGGACCGATTTTTTGGGCCATCAAAAATAGTCCTATACCTTTTATATAGGCATCATCCATATGTGTTCGTGTCCATGGATCGATTTTTTTGACCAAGAGTGAATTTCATTTTGCCTAAATTTCTTTATTTCTGCGCACTTTGGGCATTTTTAACATACGCTTTCACCTCTCTCGAATAGCCCTGGCCACCATACTTGCAATATTAACCTCATTTGAGCAGCCAATTTACCGTCATGTGTATCATCGTGAAGGGCTTTAATTTTTTCTCAAACACCGTGGAGGTACTATGATGTCTTCATTATATATAATTCCTTTTTCTATTGTTGATTTGTATCTTGACTCTATGTATGGCCTCTCAGCCATAGAAAAATTACTCCATGTATTTCTCTTTATTCTATCCATAATCCTATTCAACACTGGATCCTGCCTAGTTCCCAACCTAAACCAATTTCTATCCTGTGCAAAATCCTCTCCTCACAATTTTCACTTGCTTCAACATTTTTGCTCTCAAAATTTAACCGAGACAATGCATTTACATGAGGAATAGTACTTCCTTTGAAATATAAGATGTCAAATCCGAACGCCATAAGCTTAATCGTCCATATTAATATCCTAGCTGATGTGACGCTTGGAAACTTTATTCTGGGGTTGAATATAAATTCCTTGTACCACCATTTTGTTAAGCTTAGCAACCACAAATGATAGCATGTGAACATAAACGTTTCGAGATTAAAAATACAAGAGTTGACTGCTTCCGTTAAGCTGAATGCTCACCTCGTATCTCCTAAACCCATTAACTTTTAATGCGTATTTTTGGCCCAGACAGGTGTCTTAGGAGTTTATTTATTCCTCATGTTTAATTTCAGTAGTTACCATTGTCATTTTTATAGAAATTAGAACAACAAATATGTATAAATCATCAAAAAATAATATTGATTAGAAATAATAAAGACATAATTTTCAAAATAGTCATTATTTTTCTACTCGTGAAATGTAAAATTACGAGAGAAAGTTTTTCTTACGGCTAATAATAAAAACTTTAAAGGCTAAGTTTTGTAAAATATATCTCTGAAAATGCAATGTATGTAAGCAATTCAATGTAAATACAAGGAATAACAGATAGTGAGTTTAATTTTAACGGATTCTCAAATGAGGCTCATGGTTAATATTCCAACATTCGGTTCTACAGACTTCATGCAATTAATCATTTTCGATGTATCCACTCTTAGGACGTCAATTCCTAAAAGACTGTGGCTTTTGATGTTTTCCACCACTATGATGGGTAGTAACTCGATGATAAGTAACTTAATGATTGACCCTTCGAACTGTTTCAACTGGAGATATTCTGGAGATCTTTCAACTAGACTTTTCTTTAACCTTGGTCTACCCATTCTTTCCCAAAAACTCTTCGGTATAAATGTAACAGCATTTCTAGTATAGACCTTGAGTAAAGTTTCTCCATTCATCATTTTCTTAATTTTATCCGTATTTTCAATTGGAGGATTTATATTTTCTACTCGCTTTTCATATGGGCTTACCGGCTGGAAATGATTACTTAAAACACCATTTCCCAAAGGCCGGACATTTTTTTTCTCTTTCCTTTTTTTTTTTTTTTTTTAAACCATTCAACCCCAAGCAAGGCGGGAAGCCACTAGCACGCAAAGGGTTTCAGAGTAGGAGCGAGAGCAACGAGAAGTGATAGAGGAAAGGATGAAGAGAAGGTTAGGGAAAGATCAGGGCATCTGGAGACGTCGATTAACATTACATTTGAATAGTTGGAGATTATAGCTATCAGGAAAACAAGAAATGGGGAGGGAGTTCCACAGGCGAGAAGTGCGAGACGTGAAGCTATTGGATTAGAAGAGACGGCTATATTTAACAGTTTAGATAGTGAAAGTGTGAGAGCGAGATGCTAGCTTAGTAGAACGCTTAAATTCATGAAGTCTGGGAACCAGCGAAAGCAGTTCATCGGAGCAGTTACCGTGAAAGTATTTGTAAAAAAGACAGAGGGAGGCGACGGCACGTCTGTGAGTTTCGGGTTCTTTATTGCAATACCTGTAAACAAGTAACGTTTTAGTAGTATTGTAAGTCTACATTCGAAGGAGGCACGGTGTAGTAATGAATAGCGTCTCGAATTGAGAAAACGGGGAGCCTAGTTCAACTTCCATTCAGATCCATTACATTCACTTACGTGCTAATACCCTTGGGAAAGATATGAATCCTCTAATTCTCTCAGCCGTCCCCCCTAGCAATATGTAAATAGCAGGACAGACCAGCTTCTACCTCAGAAAGAAATGAAAACCTAAAAAAATCTGCGTCGTAAGTCATGTATCTTTCGATACATGAGCGCCTAAGCGTGTATCACGCGTGGCACATAACTGACTGACATGCGAAGGCATTACATTTTTGAATCAATTCCAATTGTTGTAAGAACTTCCAGATTCATATCATGAGCTTGAATCCACTCTCGAATTTTACGCTTGTGCGAGATGTCAAACATTCCTTCAATCAGTGTTAGCAAAATTAACTCGTCTTCAACATGCATTTGTTCTGAAACCATTCCTTAAAAACTCACAATATCTCGACGCTTCTTTCAATCGTTGTACATATTTGTGCATAATAATTTCTTTCGGTCTCTGTATACTTTCGAGAAATTTAGTTATTTACGCTATGACTAGTTTTTCTTTTGCTTTTATGATGGCAGCCATTTGTTCATACGCTAAATCTTGGAACACTTTGCGACAGAGCATGACTGAGAGTTTATTTTATGACCTCACACCTTGCTGAAGCCAAAAACCAATCCGTAATTTTGTTTTCTCCTCCACTAGTTTTTTAACATTTTTAATCTCGCCGACGTTGCGAAACACCTAAGCCAAGTTTCTAAATATTCCGGATCCTCCATCGTGGTTACGTAACCGATCGCCGATGCCATTAATGTTATGATAGGCATTCTTTCTGACAGATGTAGTCTCGTCAAGAGAACAGAGCTCTCCGGTAGGTAGAACGATACTACCTTTTATACAGTACTACATTTACATTATAACTACACCCACGAGTCAAAATAGTAAGACATAGTTCTCGTTTATACCCGCATCAGGGTCTGGTCAACATTTCCCTTATTAGTATTATAGTGCAGGAGCCGGCAACCCTTGGCATGTGTGCCAAACATGTCTCACCGATGACCTGTTTCTGACACGTGAAACTCATTCATTGGATTTCCTTTTATTCTTTTCCTCGTACATGTTTATTATTATCTCGTGTTTTTTTTTTTATTTTCTTCCCTTTACAGATTCTGCAGAATGTCAAGATCATTAGCTAAGAAACGCAATATGAGCACTGGTAAAAAAAAATGCTTGATTGAAGACATTAGGTTTATAATACCCAGAAATTCATACACAGATGCCCTCAAAGACACATGGCATAGTGGATAAAGGCGTTAATTAGATTCAAAGAGTGTGAACTCAATACCCGGTTAAGGCAGTGGAGAACTTTCAAATTAACAGGAGATAACTGATATCCATTAAACATGGCACGTAGAACTAGAACAGTCTACCCCAGTGAGCGAAATAAAGGGTTCAGTTCGACATTCCAACCACATGAAGAAGGCCGAAATGTTGTAATATATATGGCGTCAAAGATGAGGACAATAGTCCGAATAATGTAAATAATGTCTAAGAAACGATGTCATTCAAATCAAGAAGATAGTAGATAATTTAATGAATACTGACCTAAAAAAAAATGTGGTATAATTAATAAAGAAAATAAAAATCTAATGCATTGTCTGTTTCGAAACAATCGTTTGTAGGATATCTTCTGATAAGGGACAGTTTGAAAATGTTCATAAGAACTTAAGCAATAAAACTGAAGAAGAAAAAAAGTGAATGAATTTTTCTTGAACTGGACAAGACAAAAAACAGACTGATACTTTTATGAACTTTATTTTAGGTAAACCCAGTTCCAAATTATTTGCTGCTAGTTTTGAGGTTTCACTGATTTTTGTTGGCACTTGGGAAAATTCTGTCAGAGCTTTGGCCGGTTTTGGCACGCACTCTCAAAATGGTTACCCACCCCTGTTATAGTGTCTAACTCGGAGATATTTCTCGGGCTGATATCCAAGTCACATAATATCATCAAAAGGTCATGCAATCGACATATTTGAAACATCAGCCGTAAGTCAGGGTATTTTTATTTTTCGCGATAATCACTTCATTTTCCCCAAGTTATACACAACAAATTCCTAATATGTCTTTCTTACTAAGATAAAGAATTTTACACCAAATACGGACAAAATAACTTTTTTGCGATATTTAAACTTATTTTGCAGATTTTTGTTTTCGATTAAAGCAACTCGTTTCTTGTTAAGAATGGCTTCGTGAAATTAAGAACGACAGATCTCGCAATAAAAATGCCCGTCACTGTTCGCTAACAAAAAAAAAACTGATATTTTTCTTAATTACATTGATCGAGTTGACGTCACACGGCTGTAACTCATCAGACAGCTAAACCGACTGCCGACATGGTGAAAGGTTTTGAATCGTTACAACAAAAGAGACCAAATCGTCTGCATCTGGAATCAATAAAGGCAAAAACTCTTTTAAGTTTTATCCGTAGTCGATTGTGAATATACCATCTCTTTCATTGCCCTAAAAAAAGCAATGAATCGACCAATCAATACCGTCACATCTATCTGCCTCCCAACCCCTCTCTCTCTCTCTCTCTCTCTCTCTCTCTCTCTCTCTCTCTCTCTCTCTCTCTCTCTCTGGCGGTACTTTTATTTACATTTTTTTCGACTCATTAATTCAAATAGGTCGCCTCATTTCGCATACGATTTTCGCTGGTGCAATCGACAAGATTAAGAAACATGAAAATTTCGTCGTAAACAAAAGAAAACAGTGCCGAGCTGCTGTGTTATACAAATCCTCCTGAATGGCAAGGAATGCTGGACAATTCCCTCGGAGACGAAGAGAACTGAGGTCACAAAAATGCGGTTCTACAGAAGGATACTTAGAATACCATGGACGGAGCACGTGAGCAATGTGGAAGTTTTAGGGATGTTTTTTTTTTTATATATCGATTTCACTCCAAACAAGGATTACTGCCTTGCTTAGGGTGATATCGATTAGCTACTAAGACACAAGGGGTTACTGAGTGTAGATGAATTAGAAAACAGAAACGCCAACTAAGAAGCGAGAACAAAAGAAGGGTAAGCAGGGCAGTAGATGACGATGGACATTGTATTTTTATGATTAAAGTTGACTGGAAAGCATGGAGCCGGAAAAGAGTTCCACAGTCGAGAAGTGTGAAAAAAAAACTGTTAGCATAGAACTTACTATGACAAATGTAAATTGATGAGACCTCTTTGCTAGTCTAGTACTGCTCTTAAATTCATAAAGTCCGGGTACCATAAAGAAGAGCTCAATTGAACTGTTACCATAAAATTATATATAGAAAAGGTACAGGGAGATAACTCTATGGTGGTTGAAAAGTAACTGAAACCCAGACGCCGAATCAAGACCAAAAACAATGCAGATTCTTCTTTGGATTTTATCAAGGAACGCCATATATTGAACATGGCAGCAATATTCTAAGCATGGACGAATAGTAGCCTTATAGATATGTAAGATAGATTCTGGAGAGAAAAGAAACTAACACCACACAGTGGACCAACTTTCTTCGCAGATGTCCTAGCAATGGATTCAACATAGTCTTTCCACGTCATGTGAGCCGAGAATGTTAGCCTGAGAAAACGCAACGAGTCACTCCCCTTGAAGGTTAACATCAGCCATGCTGATGGAAAGCAGAAAGGGCTCTCTCAGACGATTAATAGAGTGCAGTTTAGTTTTGAAAGTGTTAAAACTAACAAGCCATTCTTTGCCCCACTTAACAACAGGCTGAAGTTCGTTTTTTTTTTTTACATCAGCCGATACAATCTAAAATTTTAACCCAGACTTTGTTTTGACATCTAAATTGTTTGTTTAAAATTCGACAATTTTTTTCAAACGAAATTTGAATTATTGAAGCTTATATGATTTGCTTAAGAATTTCAGACATATATATATATATATATATATATATATATATATATATATATATATATATATATATATATATATATATATATATATATATAGCGGCTTGGATTGAAGAATCAGAGAGTCGAGCTCGAATTCTATCCGAGTCCATTACCTTCCCTTACGTGCTAATACCCTTAAGAAAGGTATGAATCCTCTTCTTCTCCCCCACCCCAGATATGGGTAAATAGCAGGATAGATGGATGGCAACTGGTCTACCTCAGAAAAAAAAATGGCAACCTAGTGCGGGAAAAAAATCTGCCTCGTCAGTCATGTATCGAAAGATACATGATCGCCTAAGAGTGTATCACGCATGACACATAACTGACTGATCATATAATATTACATTCAAACAGGTAAATAAGGCTAAATAAATACAATCATGTTTCGATGTATATCATCACATCTCATCAGGCCTGATGAGATGTGTCGATACACATCGAAATATGATTGCATTTATGTAGCGTTGTTCCTAAATATTTGGAAGTAATATCCTATCATAAATAATATTGCTCTACTATTGGTTTGTATTGATCCCTCTTTTAAATTAACGTTACGATCGTTGGAATTTATATTAGATTCGTTCTCATTTCATATATATATATATATATATATTGGTTTTGTATATTTGGATTTATTTTATAATGGAGTCTATAATGAAGCAACTCTTAAGTCACTCAGGACGTGGACATTAATGCTGCGAAAAATTATCTGACGTTTGAAATCATTTTTAGATTCTGCTGACCGACAATAATTCTTCTCTGCTCGACGCGCATCAGACAAGATATAAAAAAAATTAACAGAGAAAGGTTATCGAATCGAACTCTTTTAACTACAGGCAGACCGTGCTAACATTTCGAAAGAGGTTTGTGTTTGATAAGACTCTTCAAATCAGTCTCTGTTAGTGGCCACTTTAAGGTTCATACCATTACTAGTCGACTAATATCTTTCCACCATCGCCACCCCTTGCAACAAATGTCTGCAAAACTAAGTAGTACACTTCACTCACGTCTCATGTCTCGAGGAAATGTCTGTCAGATTTCGTCATTAGTCACGCTATATTTGTGAATAATCGTTTCAAAACTGAATCAGGCCGATAAGTGGTTTGTGAACGATCTTTAGGTTTCTCTTTGTCAGTTTTACCATATATATATATATATATATATATATATATATATATATATATATATATATATATATATATATATATATAGTGATTTACTAAGTGTGGATTAGATGAGGCACAAGGGAGTGATTATCGAACTCAATACTCAATCGTAATTAATTGAGAAAAACTAGCTAACCGTTACACCACGTCACACTGCCGATATGTCTCTTTCTCTAATTCTATATCTCTCTATATATATATATATATATATATATATATATATATATATATATATATATATAGTCATCCACAGACAGACTGTTTCTCTGTATCACAACTCATCAGTGTGGCTAGAGGTCTGGTTGCCTCTAGCTAAGGATCGAAACCCGACTGAATTGGTGTCAGTCAGGGATTCTACACCTAAGCCGGCAGGGATGAAGGTGAATTTAAGCGTATTTATTTTAGATAAACACACAGTGACTGAGAGAACTCCATTCGACTTACCGAAGAGTCTTGTATTATTAGCCGTAATAGTCACTGTTTACAAAACCGCACTTGCTCCCCAGAGAGCTCAGCCGAAATAAATTTTCAGGAGCATATATATATATATATATATATATATATATATATATATATATATATATATATATATATATGGTTGTGTGTGTATACGCGTATTTGAGTAGACAACCCGTTTTTTTGTATGCATATGTTGGTGTGTCTGTATGATATAACTATAGTTTAAGGTATGCGATATTTATGGGTAAAAGTGCTCAATATTAATGATATAGCGTGTAGAAGTGGACACTGAGATCAATTCCGAGTGGCGACAGTTTGTTTCATTCTTGAAATCAATATTCAAGACATTAAACAGACTGTCACCATTCGGGGTGGAAACCAGTTGGAACTGTTCTAAACTTTAATATTATACTAGCACGAAGCCACAAGACATCGTAAACGATAGTTTCACCAAACTGCTGACCGTGACACATTATAAGCCCTCTCCGGGAAACTGTAACTAATATTGACTTAGGATAGTTGCAGTATCATCCACAGCTGAACTGTGTGAATGTTGAACAAACACAAATGTGCCTGAGCGAGTGTATACCATGGTGATTGGCTAGCCGTCCTAGCAGACATGGCTGTATGGAAAACGAAAATACCCGCCGATTATACCCCAGACAAATGGACGGATTGATTCCCGGAGGGTCCGTCTACGAAACTCTGGAGTCGGGATTCTATAGTTAACGTCTATCAGCTAAGTGGCAAGATTACCTTTTACTTTTATTAATTCTCCCTCCTTCCCCTTTCTTTCTCTTCCTTCTTATATATATATATATATATATATATATATATATATATATATATATATATATATATATATATACGTATTATTATATACATATATATATATATATATATATATATATATATATATATATATAGACATTAATTGCTTTACTAGGATTTCTTGAATGCGCAAAAACAACAACAGGGCGTCTGTTACAAATACGAAGTGTCTTTTATGACGATGTTTGAAGTAATAATTAAAAAATAAAAATGTCGGATTAAAAATAAATCCATTATTTTTTCCAAAAAATATATATGCGTGTGTGTGTCTGTCTCTGTGTGTCTGTGTGTGCTACTCTATGTATATTACAAGGACATACATGTATAGAAAATTAAATCTATAACTGCAAATAAAAATATTATGAACTTCTGCTTACTGTGGATGCAATCAGACCGACAATCGACAAAACAATCCTTCGATAGACAGATAGCTAGCTAGATAGATAGATAGATGATGTGCCTGCGTGTGCATCTCTGTGTGTGCGCGCGCGTGTGTGTGTGTGTTCATCTATGTGATACATGTGCACATATAAAAAATTTATGCAAATTTATCCAGGGTTCTCAAAATGCACATTTATTTATCTTGAGATAAATACATACGCGCACGACATGTGGCTAAAAATCTTTCGGTCTGACCGACTTCCTAACTTTCCTATATATATATATATATATATATATATATATATATATATATATATATATGAAGGAGGCAGAAGAAAGTGAAGAGAGAAAGAGAGAGTGGGGAAATAAAGAATGAGAGATGATGTGCGCACTAGGCTATCGGTAACTGGGTACTGTCGCCGCCGTCAGCTTTAGTGCAATGCAGCGAATCGCATCATTGTAGAATTGGAAATAGATATGATTTCCATATCTGACGGTGCATGCCGATCGACACGTGCCCTCTTGCATCTTCTTTCTTCAGTATGTGCAGTTGCTTGCGGGAGTGTTCAGAGACGCAGATAAAAGAGATGCCGGTAGGAGAACAAACGAAATGCACTCACCGGATTAATTCTTGCCTTGATGAAAAAAAAAAAATTGTAGAGGCAAAGATACACTTTAGACTCGAACAAGCATTTTCTTGATCTTAAAATCATTTCTTTTCTTTTTTTTCTATTATTAGATAAATGAAAAATTCCCAGCGCCATATTCTGTAAATATTAGGGAAATGTTAAAAGCGTACTTACTCGGCGCTTAAATTATTGCATCATCAGACTCATCAATTAAACACACACTAATCAATAAAAAACGTACATTCAGTATTCTTTATTTTCTGTAAGTCAACTGCCGATGTTTTCACAATCATTGGCGAAAGGGTTTATCAAGCTTT